AGCTGCACTTTGTGTCCAGGCAGAGCCACTGTGAGAAACTCGAGGTGCATTTTGCAACGTGGCGTGGGAACCTGGAGCCGAGCAGGAACACGAGGGAGAAGCAGAGGGAGCCCAGAGCAGGAAGTCCTTAAAGTCCCACACATTTGCCCATGGCTCCACCACAGCCATCCCAGCTGGGCTGAGGCTGCTGGAGAATCCATCTTTTTTATTTCTCTGGATGTGTCTCTCTGGATTTAGCAGCTCACCACTCCACGCTCCCCCTCTCCTCTCCCCATCTCTCCCACACTTTGACCTCACACCATGAAACTGTCAGAGTGAGGAAACAGTTTGAGCTGAAACATTCATTCCACATTACGTGATTCTAGATTAAAGGCAGGAAGCATTTAACCCTTTGAGAGCCTTTTCCCTCATCCTGGGATGCCTTGGCTTTCAAACTCCTTGCAAACCACGTGTAAGTGGAGCACTGATGCTTTTAAATGTCAGTTCTTGTCTTACCAGTGGCTCGAAGCCACAGCACTGGGATTCAGAAGTGTCTGGACTTTGCAAACTGAACACAATCTCTCAGCCCTACTCAAGATTTTTGATTCTTCCAGTGCTGAGATGTATTTGCAGCGTGGGGAAAACTTGGATTTCCAAATGTATGAAGAGATGAACCTCTGACTCAGCGGTTTGAGGTTCAGAAGTGCAAACGGCTACAATTAAAGCTACGAAAATAGATAAAATGAGGCCTTGAAATAATTAGAGGTCAGGATTTAGTAACAAAACTTCTTGCTTTCTTTAAAGCCACCCAATAAATAACTCCCACAGAGCAGCACTTACATATAAAATGTATCATTTCACAGGCCTCACACAAATATGTATTCCGGGCTTTAAAAGCTGCTCTTTTGGCAGATCAGGGCTCTCCTGAGAGCCAGCTCCTGCTCTCCAGCACTCACTGGTGAACACTTGTCAGATATATTTGGTATCTTGGGTTCTGGGCTTCATAGGTGGTCTTGGCAGCTAAAAGGGTGGAGGAGAATGGCAACCCCAACCCTCCATTCCAGTGTTTGCACCGGGAGCAGCGGCACCCTGGAAGTCCTTCAGGAGCAGAAGTGACTTTGGCATTGGCCTGATGGAACCACGGGGGCTGGAAGGGGATGAAGACGTGGGGCTTCCACCACTGCTCCAAGCAGATGTGGATGGGAAGCACTAACAGCTCTCCCAGCCTGGATTCTGAGTTTCCTTTTCAGCAAGGCATCTCCAGATGTGTAGTTCACAGAAACAACATTTTGGTTCAGCCTCAGAGAGCTGAAAGATCCCATTAGCCTTTTTTTGGGCATTTGGGAGGTTCCTACAGATGTTGACCCCTTCCAGCACTCCCAGATGGAGGGATTGGAGCACGGACTGTCCAGACAGAATTGCCACCATCACTTCCTCTATATCCAGCAGCACCACCAGCCTATCACCTTTCCCAGAGTTGAGGGAGGGTCAGTCTCCCTGATGGAAAATCAAAGGCAGAGGGGAGAGCAATTGAAAGATTGGATTTCTCTTTTATTCCCTGATCCCACTGCTCTTTACTGGCAGTCACAGAACTGCTGGGGTGTGCTGTGTCCTGCTGGGTAAAGAGTGGAGATTCTTGTTCATTCAAAACCAAAAGAGTCATGGAATGGTTTGGGTTGGAAAGGACCTTAACCCCCATCCAGTCTCACTCCCTGCCCTGGCCAGGGACACTTTCCACCATCCCAGGCTGCTCAACGCCCTGTCCAACCTGGCCTTGGGCACTTCCAGGGATCCAGGGACAGCCACAGCTTCTCTGGACAGCCTGGTCAAACACCTTTGCTGACAGAGCATGAGTTTGAGTTCAGGTCCCAAACAAATGCAAAGCCATGACCTTCATCAAAAACAGGGAACCAAGAGAATAGGCTGCTACATTAGAATTGTGATGTTCCAAATTAGCTTTTTCATCATGGCATGGGAAAATACTGGCTTTTGAAGAGAAATACAAGGCAGAGCAGCAAAGAGTGGTGGCCTCTGGAAACTTGGATCACAATCAAAAGTGAAATAATTCAACACTCTCTGTGAGAGTTCAAAGGCAACCTCAGAGAAAACCCAACCTCTGCTTATCTGGTGAGCTTTCTAACGAGCAGAGAAGGTACAGAGTGTCTCCAGATTCAGCAAAAACCCCCCTAATATCTTTTCCAAATGACTGGTTACCGATGGTGAGTGCTCTGCATTACTGCCCAGAGAGAAGAAAAACGTCCTTAGGAACAGTCTCCACAATCATCCCTCACAACAGCACAGACATGAATAGTTTCACCCATCATCCTTGGAAAATGTGCAGCTTCCCCCCGAGCTGCTGGAGGGGATGGGAAGTGTCTGTGTGATGAGATGCAGAGGCTCCCTCTTGAAACCCTTTTGGATAAGAGGGAAAATGTAAAAAATGTATCTTCTAAAGAAGAGAAGATTGGTGTGACAGCTCCTGAATGAATTGGATCCCAGGGTTTACAGTCTATCAGCTCAGCTCTCTGCTTCATGTTTGGTGTTTTTTCCATCTGTAGGAAAAAGCATTATCATTTAGGGTGAACTTTGTCCACTTCATGACAGATAAAATTATTGCACCAGCTACAGATGAAGGGAGATGAGAAGTGGGTTTGCTGCATCATTTTCCACTCTCTTGTTTATCCCAAAATCTTCAATAATGGGCTAAAATCTGACAGAGCAGAAAATCACCAGCTGTTCTGAGCTCCTTTTCCACTTGCACAGCTGCTTAGAGAAGAGAATCTGTCTGATTAAACCAAAGGGATTTCAGAGGAGAGCAGCAAAATTTAAGAACTAAACAGGTTTAAGTAAGCAATGAGTAAGTAAGCAACTCTGCTGCATTAATAAGCTCAGCATTTTAAGTACAAAACAAGGGGAGGAAATATTGGGCTAAGCCAGTGAGAGCTCTTGGGGAGAAGTGGCAGGAATTCAAAGCACAGAGTTGTAGCTGTGCTTTAAAATGTTTTAGGTAAATAAGGTCAAAAGACTAAGTAGACACTCTTATTTTGTTATAAACCGTGTTTGGAGTTCAAATACTTGGAAATAAATTTTAAACTAGCCAGCAAAAGTCTGTTTCTAAGCCAAAGGAAGAAGAATTGCAGAAGTTTTTGCTTGCTAAGTTAAATGAGAACAAAGGCATGAATGGAAAGGGGCAAGGAGGGCAGAGCCAGGCAGAAATTATCAAAGGAAGAGTCTTGCTTTGTCTCCATTAGTGATAGATTGGATCATCTTCTCTACCCCATTGTCCCTGCTTTTGAGCTTTTAAAGTGAAGCTGGATATCTTTTTTTAACTTTAATTCCGTGGTTTTCCTGTGTGAGCCCCAGAGGAGACAGGCACAGCTCAGAAGAGCTCTGAGAGTCCAGGAACATGAAATATTAGCAAGTGTTTCATTGTGTTCCGCTGCCTCAGGGCCGTGTGCTGGCTCTGCAAGCACAGCAGTGGGATTTTGACCCCAAATCTACTTTGCCAGTGGGCAGAGGGAAATCCAGCAGTAACAATCAGCTGGCAGCCACCCATTTTGCCTTGGAAAACAATTAGACAGCTGTTTTCTGGTACAGAGCACATTTCTTTTGATGTCTCAGAAAATTATTCCTTCTTCTTCATTTGTACACCTGACACAAACCCTGGGAGCAGCCAGGATACAAATATTTCTGTCTGAGCTGTTCCCTGAAATCAGGATCTGAATTTTCTGGTTTTATGCCCTGCTCCAGGTGTAAATGTGAGATCCAGGAGTTTTAAAGGGATGCAGAAGCAAAGTGTGAGTTCAGATGTAAATATTGCAGCTATCTCTATGCAAATGGGGGCAATTCCTTTCTTTCTCCTTGGTGATTCTCTCCTGTGGGTGCTGAAGTGTGTGACAGCTATCTGTGACCTATGGGCAGAGTCATTCCAATTAAGAGATCCGGCCAAGATCAATAAGCAAGTCACAGGAAAAGTTAAAAAACGGAGCCTGATTTTCCCTTCTCCCAAATCCCACTGCATTTCCATGGAAAATGTGGAAAACCTGTGAGAAATGCAGCTGACAGGAGCACAGGAATAACCATTAACAAATATCTTCAGTGGCTCCCAAGCCTGTCTTGGTGTTGCTGTAATTGTGAGGAGCCAACCTGTCGCTGAGACTTTGCTCAGTCCCTAGCACAGCTGAAATTTAAGAGACTTTTCCCAACTTTTAATTACATTCCTGTGCAATACAACTCCCTGTGTTGTGTGCATCCCTTGAGGGAGGTGTAGGGTCTTCCAGTTGTTGTAGAGAGTTGGGAATTAATTACAAAGGACACAAGGTTGGAGTTCCTCTCGAGTACTTGCTCAGCTGTGTAACCTTGGGGCAAATCACTCAACTGCTTTGTGTCCAAGTAAACCCAGCTGGAAAACCATCTTGAAAACCAGATGGTGCACAAAGATTTAAAATGCTCAGGAGAATGATGAGGGATGAGAAAAAAAAAATTTAAAAGAAGGAATTCTACAGCTCACTGCTGTTGCTATTGATTCCAGGGGAGTTAATCTGGACTAAATCAATAGAACTGAGAGGAGAATTTTCTTTGATATCCAAAAATCACCCCACACTCTCAAATAATTTTTTTTTCCCTCTCTCCTCTTGACTTTATGGCAGTACTTTCTCTCTAGAGGGTTAATTTTAAACCTCCAGTAGAATACATGTTTTCCCCTGGCAGCCTGAAGTTTCTAATTCAGGATCAGGTTCTACATGACTAAACTTTGATCTCGTACAGGATTATTTTTAGACACTTAATTCTATAGCATTCTTTTCTCCCTGCTTCTTGTGCAGCCATTCAGCCTTGCCTCAGGGGCACAGTGAGCTGTCCTGGGGCTCAACTGCTGCACCCCAAATAAAAATACTGAGCTTTATTGCCTTCTGTAGATGGTTAGTCCTGGCTTAAAACCAGTATTTGTACTCCTGGTCAATGAACAAAGGAAATGCTAAAGTTTCTGTAGCAGAATAAATGTTTGACACATGTTAGTACCTAAGAGAAAATTTAAATGTTTCAATCTTTTTTTGGTTTTAGCCAAAATGCAGATTTCCCTTTTTTCCCCCCACAGGAATGTGGGAATACTTATTTGCATACGGAATATTTCCAAAGCAGAGTGTTTTAGGTTGTAAGGCGGGAAAACAATAGATTTTAGTGTAAATAATGAATATTTAAATATGTGACACATAAAGGAGCCATTTTATTCACTGCTCAGGGAAGACCTTGCATGTTTTCATTAATCACTAACAAAACTAAAACACTGAATTTTGGCAACATTTCTTCCCAAATCAGAAAGGATTTGAGCTGAAGGAAGTTGCAAACAAATCTACCAAGCTGGAGCACAAATTCTCTTAGGCTTTCATGAAAACCAATGTCAGCAAATTGTCTGCAGCAAATTTAGCCCTTGTTATACAGTACTGGAGTGGCAAAATTGTTAATTGCTATTCAAAACTGGTGATCATTTTTCCAATACAAAAATACTTCAGTTTCTGTGTGTCTTGCAAACTGCTCTATTCCATGTTATTGAATCTTGAGACTCAATATTTGAGCCATTGAATCTCTAGATTCAATATTTGAGCTATTGAATCTTCACATTCAATATTTGAGCTGTGCTATTATTAATTTAAAACGTTGAAATTCTCTGCCATAAATACCAAAGTGCCTGGGATGATTAACGACACTGCTCAAACAACAAATTGTTAATTAAGCATAAGCCAAAGTAAAAATTCCCTGATATCATTTGAGTCCCTTTCTGGATGATGCAACTTTTCCCCTCCTAATCCCACTTGAAACTGAATGTAAAAACAGGTGCAGGTAATTCGTGGGAATGAAAGACTTAAATGAATCAGAGCACAAGACATTCTCAGATGAGCAGCTGTGGAAAACAATAAATAAAACAGAAAGTGAGCTGGAGATAAGGCAAATCCAGGTGATAAAATCATGGCTAGAGCTGTCTAATATAGGCAAATGAAAAATTCAAAGTACACTTTAAAGCCCTGAGCCATACAAATACTCATCAGACTCCATTTTTGCCACTCCTAATGAGGAAAAGGTTGATTTAGCTCAGGCGAAACTGCAGCTGGGAGTGTTTTTCCATATCCATCAAAGTCGGGTTTCCCTCCAGTGTCCCTGAGTATAAATCACTGAGCTTGACTTCCTTTCATGGTCCCTGAATTGCTCATCTGCCCTGCTTGAAGAAGAGGTTGGTACATCATGGATTTGACACGGTCCAAGCCCACCCTCACTGAGAGCAGAGCGCTGGGAGCTCCGTGCTGTCGTTATTGGTTCCATAAATCACTTTATGGGATACAGCCCCAAATCCTGGGACGTGCTGAGGCACAACCAGACGCTGCCACTGGGATATGTCCTGACAGGCTAGGATGCTCTGGGAGCTCTTCAGGGAAGCCTGGGTTGAACTCAAACAACAAAATAATGAATTCCCAAAGCCAAAAATTTCAGGCACCATAAAAAACTTTTCTTCTTAAAAACAAATCCCAAACAATGTAACAATGTAAATGTGCTTCGTGTGAAGGCTTTGTTTCTTTAAAAGCATTTTGAACTTGAAGTCTAACTGGTTTAGGAAAAAAAAATTATGAGTTTTAAGTGACCTCCTTGCTCTTCATAAGTGCAGTCCATTTTTTGGCAGGTTTTAAACCACTCTGATCTATTTTTCCCTTTTCCCAATGTAGGAAACCTTCAGAAAAATGAGAAATGCCATGGAGAAATGGACTGCAAAATGCTTCCACAAGTTTGTATTTTAACCAAATAATCACTTTCAGAAGCAGTCACTGTGCTTTTAAACAACAATAATCTGTAAAAATAGTGATTTATTTTTTAAAAAAATCTCCCTTTAAAGAGACACTGTAAGGCTTAAGTTTGCATATGAACAAATCTCTCCCCACTGCTCAGAACTCTTTCTTTGAATGAATACTTTTCACTATTTATGCTCTTCATGTAAATGAATTAATTAATTTATTTCCCAGTCTTGCAATGAAGCAGATCTGGTCCATTTTTCTTGCTCCCATCGCTCTCCTCATGTCCTGCTGTAGTTCACTGCCTGTGTTTGGGAACACAACCATTCCCAAGGGAAGTCACATCTCTTAAAAGTAAGATTTCACAATTCTCATTAACAAAACCCACTTTTTAACACCAAGATATTCGACTGCACCCCTTTCCAAAAAAAAAGAAAAAGGAAAAAAAGAATATAAAAGAAAGAAATAATTTGGAACGATCTCTTTTTTTAAACCACGGTTTCGAAATCCCCGCCCCAGAGAGCAAATTCTGCGAGTTCCTTTGCTGAACGAGCAGGGGCCTTTTGAGAAAGACGTGAAGACCAAATGAAAGAGCCTCTCACACAACCTGATGGGCTGAATTGATCCCCCTTTTCCCCAGCTTGTTGCCTTTTTTATATCCAGGGCTCTGGAACACAATTCCTGGGCGGCCTCATCAGAGCGTGGTGGCAGATTTGCCTTTGGAAGTCAGAGCCTGCTTCAAACGCCTCTTCAAGTCCTGCATGTTGGGCGACTTGGGCCGGACAAGGTGGAGACCTCTCCTCTTCTCCCCGGTGCAGCTGCTGCTGCTCCTGCTGAGCTCCTGGCACAGCTGCTGGAAAGCCTCGCGCACGCCCTCGCAGTTCTCCCGCGCCGACACCTCGCAGTACGTCCCGCCCAGCTCCGTGGCCAGCTGCAGCCCTTCCTTGGAGGACACCTGCCTGGCCCTCAGCAGGTCGCCCTTGTTGGCCATGAGCAGCAGGGGGATGTTGGCGTTGGGGTGGATCCTGCGGATGTGCTGGTGCAGCGGCCGCAGCAGGCGGAAGCTCTCGTAGTCCGTGATGGAATACACGAACACGAAGCCGTCGGCCCAGTAGATCGAGCGGTTTATCTGCTCCTGGCAGCAGATGCTGTCCGTGTCGTCCTGCAAAACAATTTGCACGTCAGGAAACGGCCCCAGACAGAGCTCGGTTTGAACAGGGGCCTGTTTGTTCATGAACTCCCAGAAAGCACTCTGGATGTGCCAGGGAAATTCCCAATGTTGGAGATGCTGTGCTGGGTGGGCAGCCTGGGGAAAAGGAGATTCAGGGGGGACCTGGTCACTCCCTCCAGCCCCCTGAAAGGAGGAGGTAGCCAAGTGAGGCCCAGGCTCTGCTCCCAGGGTCAGGACAAGAGGAAAGAGCCTCAAACTGAGCCAAGGAAGGTTTAGGTTGGACATCAGGAGGAATTTCTTCATGGAAAGGGTGACTGGACATTGGAAGGCGCTGCCAGGGAGATTTGGAGTGCCCATCCCAAGGAATGCCTGGATGTGGCACTCAGTGCAAGGTGGGGATCGGTCACGGCTTGGACTCAGTCCTGGATGTCTTTTCCAGCCTCACTGATTCCATGATTCTCTGATTCCACACTGCAGGAAAGCAATAATGTGGAGTGGAGAGGGGTCAGAGCAAAGTGGTTGAAGAGAAAAGCCAAAATACTGCTTTGAAAAGTTCTGTATTCTGTTGTACCCAGCCAGCCAGAAACTCATATCCTGACTGTGGGGACAGTAAGATTAAAAATCCATCAGGTTTGTCACACCATGACAACTGAAAAGTTGTCCCCCAATGTGACTTTTAGGGCATTTTCCAATTTTTTATTCACTGTCTCCATGGACAGAGGCTCTCATTAACTCTGGTGAAGCCTGCCAGGTTTTCCTGCCTTGCAGGTCTAGAGATAGGCAGAAGCAAAGTTATTTTGAAAAAAAAAAAATTTGTTACCAAGAACCAATGACCAGAACTGAAAACCAGGTGAAATCTCATTGGTAATTTGTGGAGCAGGGATGGGTTTATATAATTTTTTCCTGGTCACACATTTCTTGAGTCCATCACCACTCCTGTCTAGAGCCCCAGCCACCAGCAGCAGTGGGAATTGAAAGCTGAATACAACACTGTGGGCTTGAAAAGAGATCAAGTCACTTGTCAGGATGAAGCTGTTTCCAGCTAATCCTCCCCTCTTTTTTATCCCTGCTGGGATTGGGATAACCCAGCCAGAGAGGGAGATCCCTGCTGCAGCCATGCTTGCCTTGGAAGAACTGTCAATTACATTTCTGTCAATTATTACATTTCTGTCAATTATTACATTTCTGTCAATTATTACATTTCTGCAACGTTGTAATTATTTTTATATCCAACAAGCATATTCTGTGTATGGCTCTTCATGAAGCTGGTAGAAATTTTGTGTTTTAAGAGGGGTTTAACATCACAAATACAGAGCTCAAGTTTTTATTATTGTTGTTAAATTCTACCCAAGAAATTTTCATCGGCTTCTGTAGGACTAATAGAAAATGTGTTCCATTATCTATTAATCTACATAATACATATCTGCCATTCACATTAATTCTAACAGAATTTAGTGCTGAACATTTTCCCTAAACAGACCACTTTTATTTAGGCCTAAATATGAATTATAAAGCCTAACTTCAGAGAGCAGAGATGGAAAAGAATGAGTAAAATGGATCTGTTTTCCTCTGGTAGACCAGACAGTAAAAGAACTATGGACAAGCTCTTCTGTGAGGAGGAAGCAGAATTTCTGAAGGGTCAGAGTATAAATTAGGCTAAAAACTTTCCTCAGGAGTTCTGCCAGCCAAGTGCCCTTTGTAAATATTTAATTATTGCCCACGGAGGCACTGGCTCGTAACGCCTTGAGGTTCTTTGCCCTTGCCAGCTCACAGCTAAATCCTCTGAGCAGTGAAACTGGTTATCAAACGCTCTTATCACTGCTCCCCAAACCCCAAAATAGAATGATGAAGAGGGATCATCCCCAGCAGCCTTGTTGGAAAGGTTAATGAGAGTGAGCTCCAGCCAGGCCAGGGCAGGCTGTGGGAAGAAGGGCAATTTGCACTGTTGGCATCTGGGCTGTAGCCAGTCTGGGGATAATTAGCCACTCTCCATGTCCTGGAAGCCTCTTTTCATCAGCAAAACCCTTTTGTGGCACAAAAAACCTGAACAAAACAAAACCAAAAAACCCTAATTGCACTGGCAAGCTTTGAGAATGGGTTTGGGGAAGGTGCACGTTCAGGGAGGCCTAAGAGCAGAAACTCCCTCACTCCAGCTAGGCCCACCCAGATGGATGGATGGATAATCCCAAATGGAATGCTTTATTCAGGAAATCAAAGGCTAATGGGCTACTTTTTAAATGGAAATCTCCGCTCCAGAATGAATTTTGAAACACACAGGCCTTTGGAGTGTATAGGCCAAGCAGCCATGAATCGCCCAACAAAACCACTCATCTGCTTCTGTTTCCCTCTTACACTTGCACATTTCTAGGGGCTTGAATCCCCAGGGTTTCCACATGATTTCCTCCTGAAACACTGTATTCAGCCTGCAGAGTGCAGGAAGCTCTCTTCCTTAAGGATTTTTATAAAAAATCTGACTTTTTCTCAGTGTTAAACTGTTCTGACACAGTCCCTTCAATTATTGCAGACACATCATTCGAAGCAAACAGACACAGAGTGAGATAAGGGTGCCTGTGGGAGATTTTGGAACAGACCTTGGACTGGGACAAAGAAAATTAAACTTTTTAACTTATTTAAAATCATTTCTGACTAAGAAACCTCAGCTGTTGGCTTGACTAAATTTTGTGCAGCTCTGGAGTCACTGGCCTGTAGGACACAGCATCAATTTAAACAGGAAAATTGCATCTATGTGGTCTGGAAATGTGAGTTAAACGATTCCAGCCCCTCCTTTCTCAATGGGACAGCAGAGAAAGGGGGGATTCCCTTTGTTAAGTGTTTATCAGGCAACCCCAGTGGTGCCAAATCACTCCCACAGCTCCTCTCTGCAGGACAAGCTGGCAAAGACCTTTGTGCTGGTAAATCCCACTTGAGTATTTGGAGAGCTTCCACTGCAGCTTTTATTTGCTGCTGAGTGTCCAGAGCAAACGAGGCTCCTGCCCTGTGCCTCCCAGCCCAGCAGAGAGTGGGATTTCACCAAAGATTTCCCCTTCAATCCACTTCCAGTCAGAGAAGCTGGAAATGGGAGCTTTGCTTGTCCCATTCTGTAAATTGAGGATGGAAGAGCTCCATGGCACAGAGGTGTACATGTGGGTCTGTACAGGTAAAACAAGGGGTGCAGAGCTGGCCAGGGCAGCCTGACACACGAGGAGAGAAGGTGATGTTCCCTTCCCAAAATATATTGGCCAAATCTAAGTTTGGACTGAGGTTAAGGCCACACCTTGAAGTTTAAGCTTGGTGGTGCAATGAGAATTCCTGATTTTATCATGAAATCTCTGCTGTTCTGTAGGAATTGTTAATCATGAGATTTCCACCGTTCATGTAACCCCAAATTTCACTACATTTCCTGTTGCTTTGACAGTATTTTCATCCTCTTGTTCTGCATGTGAAGGGAGCATAAATCCTGCTTGGAAAAACATTTCTAGAAAGAGGTTCCTTGTAGAATATAAAATCTAGAATATAATAGCATAATCAATATTCAAATTATTTAATTTATTTATTTATTTATTTATTTAATTTGTTAATTTAATTTATTAAATCTAGACTATTATAGAATAATCAAATCACTAAGATTGGAAAAGGTCTTTAAAGAACTCCAGTTTTTGGCCACAGAGTGTGTGACTGTAACACAAATCCCCCAGGTGCTCTTTGGGGTTTGTGTGATTTTAGCAGAGTTTGGTTGAAATCCCCAATCATAATAGAATTATAGATTCATTAAGATTGGGAAAGATCCTTAATATCACCAAGTCAGACTATCTAAAACACTGATAGGAAAAGGAGTGTGATAAATGCTAACACCTTAATAACAGGGAATTAATTACATTTAAAACCAGAGTAAGGCAAGAAGGGCAAAGCACCATAGCTGGAAATGGCAATGCTGTGAAGCCTGGCCCCTTGGAAAGAAACACTTCTCTAAATCTGGGAGACTTTGGGTGTGGAGGAAGGTCCAAACTGAGCCAGCTGGGCCTCTGGGCAGGTGAATTTTCTGCCACACAGGGACAGAAACCACTTGGCAGAAAATAAAACAATCAAGCTGTTGGCAGGAGGGAACCAGATTGTGATTTTACTGCTGTTTAGTAAAGTGTTGGAAAGAAAATTGTTTTAATTTTGACTTATTCCTGAAGGAGCCTGATTTAACACCTTCAAGAGCTCATTTTGGTAGAGTTTAAGGTATCTTGATTAGCCTTGAGTTTGAGCCCAGATATTCTCCTGCTGCTAAGCAGAGTTAATTGCAGATGGAAGTGCTGGCAACAAACACAAGACAGAAGTGTGTTGAAAAGCACAGAGCAGTTGTTTTACCTCCAGTGAGACAAAGGGAGTATCCTGCACCTGCAGAGAGATCTGCTCCCCATCTATGGTGAATTTCCTGGAGTACAAAGCACCTGGGGGAGAAGGAAGATTGTTAGTCAGGGGCTGTACCAGGGAACCAAAATTAGAAAGGAAAGGTAAAATGGGGCTGCTGAAATGCAGAGTTTTGAGGTTTAGGATGTGGGGCTGCCTGTATAAAAGTGTGGCTGTTTGCTCAGCAGAGTGGGGCTGTGAAAGGGCCACCTGGGCTTGAGTCACATACTCAAAGTGAGCACATAAATCCCATTCAGGTTTTCAGTCCCTACTGTTAACTTTAAATATAAGTGCAGTTCACTTTTTGTAATCACAAAGACATCCAGGTGTGGTCAGTGAAAGGAGTGAGTTTTCCTGCTGCTTGCCTTTAAAAAAGGAAAGCACTCCGGTTTTGGACACAGAGTGAGTGACTGTAACACAAATCCCCCAGGTGCTCTTTGGGGTTTGTGTGATTTTAGCAGAGTTTGGTTGAAATCCCCAAAGACTGGACAGTTTAAACCTGGCTTTGGTTAACCTGGAGGACACATATTCACAGCCAAATGCCAGTTCTACTCACCTAGGCCTGATCTAGCTCCGATCTAACCACTGGGCTTGAACTTTATTTTGTTACTGCAGCTAAGTGACGATGAAAATTTAAGTCCTGATTTTATGAATTCTCTGTGGTTGTGACAAGGACAGCTTCAGAGGTTGATGTCATCATCATTTTTCTTTAGAACTTAAGACAAGTCACGTGGGGGTGTGAAGAAATGGTAATCCACAGCTGTTGTGTAAAGCCCTTCTGTCCTGGCCCAGTACAATTGACACTGCTGCCTCCAGAACAATGTCAAACGTGGAGAAATCCACCCACTGGAGTAAGGAATTCAGATTAGCAGGGAGCCCAGCTAGTGACAGTAATGCCCTCACTTCTGAAAATCAGCTTTGTTTCGAGGAAACAAGTGATTTTATTCCAGTGAAAAAGAGTCTGAGCTCATGGAGCATTTTCAACACAAGGAAATTTAGCACTGAATCCCACATTATCATATTGTGGTTTAATACTGTGAGGGGATCCAGCCCTGGTGGGATTTTGTTTGTATTTTAAACCAGACCTGATTTAAAGCTGTAAAAATGGTTTTATGAGAAGACACTGCAGCCCTGAACCAAGACCAAACAACCCCTTGTTCCCATTCCATGATGCCCTGCAGAACAAAGAGCTGCCAGGCACTGCTCCTGCTCTGCCTGCTGATGAAGGAGAAGCACGGCTGAGTGATCCCAAGGGCACTGCCACCTGTTCCTTCTTGCTGGAATATTCACTTCTCCTGCAGCGTGGCCCTGGGAGCTTAATGGGAAAAGCATGTGGCTCCCAGCACTGGCTCTGGCAGCAATCACTGCACAGCTCCCAGGTCTCACTTGATGTACAACCTCCCAGAGAAGAGGTGACAGGAGAGAAGGAGCAAAAGTGCAGCCAAGCATCAGGGTTACTCGGGGTCAGTGAGGGGGAGCTGCAGGGAGGAGCTTTCAGATTGCATTTCCTCAGATCAAAGGTGTCCTGTGCTGCTCCCTCCTCATCCTGAGCTCAGCAAGCATCTCCAAAGTGAAGCATTTCCTGAATTCTGCCCACCTTTCACCCCAAAACTGTGAGTAGGGGTGAGCGTGGGGTACATGGATCCATGAACAACACCGGCCAAATCAGTCAGTGTTTCCCTGGAACAGTTCACATGAACACACCCTCTGGATTAAACAAGAAATGAATGGTTGCTTTGCTTGTTTTACAGAGAAAAGGCTTCAATTTCAAAGTCTCCCAGGTTATAATAGCCCCTGAAATAAAGGGAATGCACAGAAAAAGTTCTGAACTGCCTTTTACACCCCTCAGAATTCCTCTGCCTTCCCTGGGGTTGCAGGGGGAGCAGCACTGGGTTCCTGTGCTTTAGTTGATGTGTAGATTGTTCCTTGAGCCTGTGTTTCAGTATAGGTATGTCCCCAAACAAAGCTTTTACTCTGATCCTCTTCCATCAACTTGGGGGGAAAAAAAAACCAGCTGAAAGGATCATAAATAATGAGCCTTTGATTTATTGCTTTCATAGCTCCAGGCTATTAACTGAAAATATGCACCTTATGGACATCTAACACCACTTGGCTTCCCTGTAATGTGCACCAGTCACAAAAGAGTGGATTTCTTTTCCAGCTCTCTGCAGTGCTGCTGGGGAGAGCAGAACTCACCAGTGTTGGCTTCGTAGTCCCCAATAAATCTCTTTGTGAGAAAGCGCACGACCAGGGCTGCAAAACAACGACAAAAAGATGGGTCCTTAACGAGAACCCAGATCCATCTGGGCACAACTGGTGGAACATCTTCCTGCAGGAGGAGCCTCAAGTGAAACCCAGTTCATCTCTGCATTGCTCACACGTTATTCTGCAAGTGCTGCTCTCGACACTCACAAAGATCTGGGGCTCCTAATACAGAGTTTTTCACAGCTTGTGTTGGAAGTGAGCCCTGAGATTCGGGGTGGCAGGGAGGTTGTTCCCCTATGAACACAAAATCAAACAATCTCTCCTCTGCCCTGAAATAATTTAGGAGAAGAGTTACAAGCCAGTAGACCGCAGCTAATCCAAATTTAAGCATTTTATGTCAGGCAAGAAGTGAGGCTGATGGATAGAATGGTTCTTTCCAGCCTTAAAACCCCTCACAAAAGCCATTAGTGATATCTAATCACAGCCAGCAAACAAACTCCATGTGCTCTGCACTCTTGGGTCATGCTGGAGCACCCTGGGCCTTCTTATTCACCTTAACCTGAGCTGCTTTCTTCAACTCCTTGATAAGAACATTTTCCTTTTTCTGCATAAAACATTTAAATCCCATCGTGGCAACAGTAATTTATATTCCCCTGGTGCTTTGATCTCAGTAGTATTTATTCCTAGTAACTTGCAAAACCATTTAATTAAGAATTAAATGAAATATCTTATTCTGCAAGCAACATTATTTTAAAATAGATTTAATTTCAAGCAATAATTTTTCCCACAGTGATACTGGGTCATCCTTTAGCACCCTTAGATGAAATTGCCTGTGCAGCTGTCTTCAGCAAACTATTCAAAAATAATATGAAGATGTGGCTGCTTCAAAGCCAAAACAATCATTTTGCTGAATCCCATGGAACCACAGATGTAATAAATCAATTTGCTTTTAATAATTCCTAAAATCACAGACCAGATATTCAAATACACCAATGCTCTCTTTACCCTCTTTACTTCCCCTCTCCTTTGGAGAATAATAAAGGCACATCTTGTAGGCTGTGATTTGTCAGCAGAGCATAAAACCTTTGCAGCAGGAGGAAAGAAGCCAACTTTTGAGGCGTGGAAATTTATTCCAGTGAAAAAAGAGTCAGAGCTCATGGAGCATTTTCAACACAAGGAAATTTAGCACTGAATCCCACATTATCATATTGTGGTTTAATACTGTGAGGGGATCCAGCCCTGGTGGGATTTTGTTTGTATTTTAAACCAGACCTGATTTAAAGCTGTAAAGATGGTTTTATGAGAAGACACTTCAGACCAGGTAGAAGCGCTCGTGAGTACAAAAACTCGCTGCTGGCTCACGTTGGCTTCTCACGCACTTACAGCAAATCTGACTCACAAAAAATCTCCTGTGCCTTTTCTTAAAAAGAAAAAGAATAAAAATGAAAGGAAAATGAAACGGTTAAGATGGAAATTTCCCAGTTTTGGCTGTGTCTGGGCAGAGAAGGAAAAGCAGGGCACACACCTGTGACTTACCTGTCTTGCCCACGCTGCTGCCGCCCAGCACCACCAGTTTGATGATTTTGTTGGGCGCACAGTCCAGCGCGGGGTACTCCGGGATGGGCAGCAGCAGGAAGTTGGTGGAATACTGAGACATGGTATCCTCAGGGATGAGGAGCATGCCAGGAGGGATCCGAGCCGATCTGCGGGGGAAAAGCAGCAGCGCGGCTCCCCGGCGCCTGCTCCCGGCTGCCTTTCCTCGCAGCGAGAAGCTCTCTCATCCCACTGAAGACGTTTTCCCGAGGAATGCGAGAGCGCCCGGCCTCCTCCAGCCGATTCCTCTGCTCAGACAGCGACTTTGGAGAGCCGAAGGGAAGTTTTGATCAGCCCCCGTGAAAGCTGACTCCAGCATCCCGCAGCCAATCACGAGGGCAGCGGGACATTCCTGCAGCCGGGCACCGAGCATCCCCATCCCTCCCCACGGCTGCTTTATGTGCTAAAAAAACCTCATTTGGGGGTTTACAGCCGTCACGGGAGAGCTTTCAGCGCCCTACATTCACCCCCATGCTCGGCTCTAATTCCGATTTGAATAATCCGGTTCTGCCTGTCCATTCCTTCTCCTTCTCCACGGCCCCAGCTCCTCGCTCCCTTGTTCTCCCTGGGCCATTGTGTGCTGCTGGCACCCTGCTCTTCGGGAGAACAAACACCTTTCCATCCCCCTCCCCGCTCGGAGCTTTCAGGCAGCTGTCGGATATTCCAAAATCCCAGCTGGAATCCTCCGGGATACATTTGATCCGTGTGATGTGAGCCTCAAAGGCAGCATCGGGGTGGGACACTCCAAACACGGGGAAGGGAATTTCGGGCTGGTGACAGAGCTGGGAAGCTGAGGAAGGACCGGGTGTCTTTCAGAGGGAAAGGAAGAGAGAACGGCATCTCTAGGAAAACTCCGTGGGGTTTTAGGACAGCTGGCAGGGTCTGTGGGATGACAGCCTGGAGCTGAACACTGGCTACAATCAGCTCCCTGGGATAACAGGGAGGGAAGAACACTGTGGAGGGAGTGACCCAGATAAAGCAGAACTGCAAATAATATGAAACAGATGTAAATTAAACTAAAAAAAATAACGCAGTTGGAGCATTCATCTTTGGAAAACTTCTGGGAAGGGAGCAGAGGCAAGGCTGGGATAGGGATTCTGTCAGGCTGTGTGGGAGATGTGGATGGGAATGGAGAGCAAGATAATCCCCCCAGAGCTCATGGAGAGGTTTTTTTTCTGCAGGAACGAGGTGGGTTTGGCTCACTCTGGAGAGGCTGCAGCCAGCAAGCTGTGCCCAGCTGCTCTGCCAGCCCTGCTGTGACCCTCAGCACACACCTGAGCCCTGCCCAGAGCCAGGCTGGGCTCCCAGGACATGGGAAATCAGCTCAGAATTCCAGATCACTCCCAAAAGCACCTGGACCCCTTCCCAAAGCACCAATCCCAGCTTCCACACCAGTGTGTGCTGAGTGTGAACTGCTCTGAGGAATATCCAGCTTTGGGACACAGCAGTGCAGTGAAATCAGCACAAGAATCCCAAGATTTATAGACATGTGGCTTTTCCAAGGTTCTATTTCCCCTCTAAAACCTCGTTGTGCAGCAGTGTTTGTGATGAGGCTCTGCAAGCTCCCCCAGATTTATTCCTTTGACCATCCTGGCAGCTGATGAAGAGGAGGAAAAAATGTCTGGAGGCTGATGCAGCTCAAGGAACTGGGAGAGACCTGCTGGATCTCGTGTCTTTTGGGATATGGCTCCTGTGAGAATGGTTTGCAAATCATCCAGTGTCAATTTGCTTCCAGATTTTTGCAAAACCCCAAACACTCAAAAAAAAACCAAACCAAAACAAAACAAACAAAAAAAATCCAGGAAATTTCATTACCAGGGTGCTTTAATCTCCCACAGGTTTTGTAAGAAGAGGTAAAATGAGAGGGTGAGGAATATTAAAAAAAAAAAAGCTCAAAATCTTGTGGTCAATTAATAGATCAGCACTTTGAAATGTGTTATGGAGCTGGACAGTGATAAATTTGGGATTAGTTAGCAGCAGTAAGTCACTGTCTGCCTCTCTGAGTGCTGGAGCCTTTGTTACCATTTGCTATTAAAAGCATATGTTAGTGAGTAATATAAAAACATTCATCACAATAGTCCTCCTCCAAAACCAGTCATAGATCTGTCAGCTTCTAGGTGGCCAGAAGAGCTCCAGCCCAGGGAAAAAAAAAGCCAGATAAGCTCAGACAGAGCATGAAGAATATTCTATCTGAGCAAAGACATTCCTAGAAGAAAACAGCTCTGCTGGCTTGTTCCAAGAGGGAGGCACACTCAACTGAAAAGAAAAAAAAAAAATATAATAAAAATTCATTTTGGGTAACCAAATGTGGTGCTGAGGAACACAAAAGGGAGCCAGAGGCAGGTGGAGGGCGAGCTTTGGTGTGGATGAACGCGAGGCAGACCAAAAGAATGCAAACTGTACTCAAATGATGCTGAGCTTGGATGTGGCACTCTCAAATCAGGAGTCCCAGGCACGGGCACGGAGCAGCTGCTGGGTGAGGAGGGGTGGGGAAGCTTTTCCATGGGCTTGCAGGGCTGGATCTGCTGCTGACACAGGAGAGGGGATGTGTGGGGGCAGGAATGAGACAGCAGTGCTGGAGGAAATGTTCAACTGCTGCTTTTGGCAGCTCTGAGGGCTTCTGGTTGCTTAAAACAAATGTGAAAGCAGTTTTAGGCTGCGTGCTGGAAGCAGACCAGTGGAGTTCGAGTTCCTTTGCTAATATGGTTCAACATGAATTTCTTCTGCACCAGCCCAAGCTTCTTGTGCTTCTCCCCAAAGTTCCTTCCACCACAAGCAGAGCAGGAATCTCTGTGCAGAGAGAAGGGATTTTAGTACAAATAAAAAAAAGCAATGCATTCTCCCAAAGTTCTCAATCTGCTCTCTAGCTCCTCCCTCCTCTCAACTCCGAGGCTTTAATCCTGAAAGGATTCAAGTAAAATACAGAATCAAACCCAGAGGTTTTCAAACCTTGTCTGATGTTCTAGATTGCCAGAGCAGCCTTTTCACAGAGCGAAGCCACGCAGAAGGATTCACCCTCTTTGAGACTGTATAAGCCTTGACATGTGGAATAACAATTGTTTTTAAAGGAGATACTCATTGTTTGTGCACAATGGGCTTATATTTAGCTAAGAAACCCATGTTTAAAATTCAGATTCTCTTGGAAAAACAAGAGCTTGAATTAGAGGGGGAATGTTTGCAAAACTGAGAGCGGCTTTGGGAACATTTGACTGGTTCTGGAGGTTTCACTTTACCAACCCTTGGGTTGCTCATGCAAAGATCTGTGCCTTTGCACGGCGCACAGAGATTGTTATTTCCACACCAAATTTTTTACAGATTTATTTACTGCTCTGTGTTGCTTTTGGATCTGTTTTTTAGATGATTTTCTATTTATATTGTTGTTGGCCCTCCTACACATCTTCGGAGACGAAGCTTGCTAAAAATAAAAATATTTGCCATGACCACAGTGCCTGTCACAGGAGGATGTCAGAATGCTTGAAAACTGGTTGTAGTTATTCCTCATGCATTGTACAAAAGGAGTAAGAGATGAGCAGAGCCAGAGAGACCTTGCTAACACCCCAGGGAAAATGTTTGTCCTTCTGTCTAGCTCTGGCAGAAATTTTTCCTCAAGAAGTCCATTTGTAACCATTCCATTTGCCTCTGGCACATCTTTCATAGAATATATCGATGTTAGGGGGATGTGGAAGGAGAAACAGGGTTTTTTTCAGAGCAGAAATGGGAAATGTGGCTGTGGGGAGATGCCAGGGGCTGTGGCAGATGCTGAGACCAAACCTGTGGCTGGTGGCTCATGCACACACCCCTGAATTGACTCCAGCCAACAAGAATTGATCCCTGCAGCTCTCTCTGCCCCTCTTTATTGCAAACTCGGGGCCCAAAGGTCACTTCTCACACTGCACTCAACAAAAATTGTCTTTGAACCACCTTCCTGCTCCCAGTAACTGAATTCCTCCAAGCTGGGAAAGGCAAAAGAGGAGGAGATAAGAAAGGACCAGAAATGAGTGTGGTGTGCTCTGAATTCCACCTTGCTGAGTTTAAATGAATCAAAAGTGCATCTCTGTGCTCCAGCAGTGACCTCTGAAGACATTCGGGGACAAAACCATGATTTTAGCCCCGTAATTCTACTCAGCACCAAGTTGTTCTGATCCTGAGGGCAAAGGGCAAGGAAATGTCCTCAGATTCTGCTGCAACAGCTGTGATAAATCATCTTTGATTCTATTTTGGGATGTAAGAGAGATGAACATTTAAATACGTACTTCAATCTGGTCAAACACTGTACAGACTCCACAATTTCTGCATTTCCTGTCCCTAATTTTAAAGCACTGCCATTCATGGCAAGCCTGTAAGGAGCACTTTTCACTTTGGGGATATTTTGTAAGGATTGGGGTTTTTTGTCTTCCTGAATCCTGTCCCTGGGGAGCCTGGAGTAGATGACGTGGGAAGTCAAACGTGTGTACGGGAACATCGCTGCGGGCGAGCAGCTCAAATAGAATGGAAACATCTTGGCCTCATAAAAAAAAGTTTCTGCTTTGGAAACTGAACCCTTCCCCGCAGATATTCCCACAAGGTCAGGGCTGGAGTGTGGAAAAGGCCCTGGCACTGCTGGGATTGTGAGCAGGGAGCTCCCCTCGCCCTCACCGGCTCTTCCAGCAGCTCGTGGCTGATGAGGAGAGGCCGGGAGCTCTCCACAGCTCTGGGTCAGGATCAGACACATCCCAAATTCCTGCCCAGTCCTTGCTGTTTCTCCTGAGATGGCTTTGCTCTTGGTGTGTGCACTGCAGGACGAGCTCTGTGGTGTCTCAGGAGAGTTTCCCACCCCTTCTCCCACAGGATTTACAATGGATGCTGCTGCCACTTGCGGGGCTGAGCTCTCCAAGAGCCTTTTTGTCCCCGGGCGTGTGGTGTGGAACAGCAGAGGATCCCTGGGGCAGCACCTGTCCCAGACCATCCCAAGATCCCAGTGGCTCACAGCCACTGGAAGGAGTCTTGGGAATCACAGAGTTCCATCGGGCACCTCCGAGGGCGCTCTGGGGTGGCCGTGGTGTCCCTCGCTGGGGTTCTGGTGACATCCCCCAGTTCCCAGCCCAACCCCTGTGGGAACAGGGCTTTCCCCCAGTGTCACCAGTGACCCTCGCAGCGCCCATCCCAGCGGGGCCTCCAGCCTCCTCCTGGAGCCCTGGGAATCATGGAATATCCTGAGTGGGAAGGGGCCCAACAGGA